GTTTTTTTTCTTGTCCGTTTGCTTGGAAAACTTGTTTCCAGCCTTTCACTTTTAGTCTGTGATGGTCTTTTGTCCTGAGGTGGGTCTCTTTTAGGCAGCATATGTGTGGGTCATGCTTTCTTATCCATTCAGCTATTCTGTGTCTTTTGATTGGAGCATTTAATGCATTTACGTTTAAGGTTATTATTGATAGGTACTTATTCATTGCCATTTTTGTACCTGTGTTCCTCTCTGTCTCCCTCTTATCCTTCCTTCCCTTAAAGCAGTCCTTTTAGTATTTCTTGTAGAGCTGGTTTGGTGGAGGCGTATTCTTTTAGGCTTCTTTTGTCTTGGAAGCTCTTTATTTGGCCACCTATCTTGATTGAGAGCCTTGCTGGGTAAAGTAGCCTTGGTTGTATGCCTCTGGTTCTCATTACTTGGAATATTTCTTTTCATTCTCTTCTTGCTTGAAGTGTTTCCATTGAGAAGTCAGTAGCTAACCTTATTGGGGCTCCCTTGTATGTTATTTCTTTTTTCTCCCTTGCTGCCTTTAAGATTCTCTCTTTGTCTTGGAATTTTGCCAATTTGATGATGATGCGTCTTGAAGTGGGCCTCCTTGGGTTCCTTTTGATTGGGACTCTCTGTGATTCCTGGATTTGTGAGACTTTTTCTCTTATCAAATTAGGGAAATTTTCTCTCATTACTCGTTCAAGTACGTTTTCTATCCCTTGTTCTTCTCCTTCTCCTTCTGGTATTCCTATTATTCGGATATTATTACTTTTTATATTGTCTTGCATTTCTCTTAATTCCTCTTCATTCTTTCTGAGCCTCTTTTCATTTTCTTGCTCTTTCTGTGAGATGCTTTGTACCCTGTCCTCCAACTCACTAATCCTATCCTCTGCTTCATCTATCCTACTTTGGAAACTTTCTACTGTGTTCTTTAATTCAGAAATTGTGTTCTTCATTTCCTCTTGTGTCTTGCTGATAGTTTCATTTCCTTTTTCATGTTGCTGTAGTTTGCAGAGAGATCATTATAGTTCTCCTGTAGTTTCTGGTAGTTCATTGTGAGCTCTTTGAACTTCATAATAACCAGTGCTTTGAATTCACTATCTGATAGTTGATGAGCCTCTATTTAATCTAACATTCTTTCTGAAGTTTCTGCTTTTTCTTTCATTTGGGGATTGTTTCTTTGTCTTCCCATTGTTTGAGACTCTTCTTGTTAGTGTCTGCTTCTAAAATTGATCTGTTCTGAAACCCTGGTTTTATGGTGTGAACTTCTGTGGTATGATCCTTGTGAAGTTCAGTGGTGCAGACTCCTTGAAGTTTCTTGATGTACTTAATCTCCACCTACACTCACGCTGGTCCTCACGCTGGTTCCTGCATTGGTCGCCTACCACTGCTGAATGTCCCGGCTCTAGTAGCCGCCTCCTCAAGCACCCAGGCCCGTTACCTCGGCAGCGGCACAGAGGCTGGGAATGTCCCAGCTCCCATATCTGGCTCTCTCTGCCGCCCAGGGCCGTCACAGGGTTTGGAGCATCCTGGTTTCTGTACCTGACTCCCCGGCGTCTAGTCCTGTCTCTATGGCAGTGGCACAGAGGCTTAGAATGTCCCATCTCCCGTACCTGATTCCCCAGTGTCCAGTCCCGTCACTATGGCAGCGGCGCAGGGGCTGAGAACGTCCCAGTTCCCGTAGAGGGCTCCTCTGCCGCCCAGGGCCGTCTCAGGGGTTTGAAGTGTCCCGGCTTCTGTACCGACTCCCCAGCGTCCATTCCCGTCACTATGGCAGTGGCACAGGATCTGAGAACTTCCCGGCTCCCGTAGCTGGCTTCTCTGGGCCCAGGCCTGTCTCTCTGGTGGCGTCACAGGGTCCTTTGGTGTCCCAGCTCTTGCAACTGACCCTTCAGTTGCCCAGCCCGGTAGCTATGGCATCGGCACAAGAGCCGAGAGTGTCCCCGCTCCGGTTCCTGACTCCTCTGTCTCCCAGGACTTTCACAGGGGTTGGAGTGTCCGGCTCCCGTACCTGACTCCCCGGCTCCCAGGCCTGTTGCTCTGGTGGCAGCACAGGGACTGCGTGTGTCCCAGCTCCAGTAGCTGACTCTGCCGCCGTCTGGTGTTTCAGCGTCGGCCACGATCTCTGGTCTTTTAATTTCATAAATGCTGGGTAACTGATGGTTTATTGTGCTTTTTCTCTATAGATCTGCCAGGATTTTCACCCATGAGTACAGGAGCTAGTATCAGCTCCATCTTACTCTGTCACCATCTTCCCAGCATCCTCTGGTTTTTTTTCCTTATGTTCCAAGCCATTGATTTGATTCTTGGCTTCGTCCACTCTACCATTGTTTCCCTGTAAATTGTTTTTTATTTTAATTAGTGAATCCTTCATTTCTTACTAGATTTTTATTATGCTGTTGAAGTCCTTACTAAGTTCCTTGAACATCCTTATAACCAGTATTTTGAGCTCACATCTGATAGATTGCTTATCTCCACTTTGTTCAGTTCTTTTTTCTGGAGCTTTGATCTGTTCTTTCATTTGGGCTGTGTTTCTTTGTCTCCACATTTTTGCAGCCTCCTTGTGTTTGTTTCTGTGTATTAGGTAGAGTTCCTATGACTCCCTCTCTTGGTAGTGTGGCCTAAAGTAGTAGGTGTCCTGTAGGGTTCCGTGATACAGTCTTCCCTGCCACCCAAGCTGTGTACTTGCAGTGTGCCTTTCATGTAGGCTGAGTACCCTCCTCTTGTAGTTGAGCTTTGATTGCTGTTGGCTGGTCAATGGGAGGGATTTACCTAGGCCAGGCAGCTTCAAGGACTGACTGTGATCACTGACCACCAACCTCCACCCTCCATGGAGGATCAGATGTGGGGGGGGCAGGGTGGTGGTACTCCAATGTGGTCTGTAGCTTTCCACTGGGGGCACAGACCCTGGGGTTTCCTATGTGGTATAAGTCAAGGTCAGCCACCACCTGTGTTTTGCTCAGGGCCACCCTGCCTGAGCTGTAAAGCAATCTGAGATGGTTGTTACTTGTGCTGGACTTGAAGATTCCCAGGTAAAGCTAAACTGTGAACCTAGGTTTGCTGCCACTAGTGCTTAGCCTAGGGTCATTTAGCAAGAAGTATAGGGGCTGGGGGCTTATTGAAGCCAGCTGTAGCTTATTTGAGAGGATTTAGGAAGTTTTGAAGCATAAGCCAACACCAGCCATTCATATGGAAAAGCAGCTTGGGTGGCCCATAAATTGGGTGGGATGGAGTCTCTGGGGATCTTTAGGGTGGGGCAAACAGTGCTAACCAGGTTGCTGGAGTCTCAGATATGGCACCAGCCTGCTGGCCCTGTGCCTTGTAGGGGGAGAATTCAGGAAAGCAGCAATGGCCTCAGCCACACACTTCAGTTTTCCTCTGTAGGCCAGGGGTGCCTTTCAAGCTGCTACCCTGGTGCTGGAGCTCAGAGGGAGTGAATCTGACTAAGTCTGTGTGTGAGTTCTTTAAGAGGAACTGCTTCAGACTCCAGAAGTTTCTTCCACCAACTCAATCCCCACTGGTTTTTGCAGCTGGAGATTGTGGGGACTTATCTTTTTGGCACTGGAACCCTGGGCTGGGGGTCCTGGTGTGGAGCTGGGACTCCTCACTTCCAAGGTATACTGCCTGAATTTTTATCCACCACAGGCAATGTGGGACCCACCCATTCCACATCTGTGCCCCTCCTACCAGTCTGGATGAATGTGATTTTTAAAGACATTTTAAATAGCCCATTAAACTCAACATGTAGTCCAAAATTGAACAGAACTCAAGTGAAGTATCATAAAAGTGGACAGCTGTGACCAAAAGTTTACCCATGGTCAGGCAATGACAGCTACATCACAATCTATCCTTGGAGACAAGAAGTAAGAAACCATTGGTTGTAAGACCACATCTTAATCTTGGAGATGCTTTACAACATACATTAGAATGCATTAAGGGTTGTATTTGTAGCAGAATTGTTATTTTTTAATGGAGTTATATAATTTTTAATATCATAAGAGGAGATTTAAAATGAGTTATTTTTTGTCTTTTAATAATGTTTAGTATTTTCTCTTATATTTTCATTATTACAAAAGTTATATTTAATCAAATTGCATTTTGTAATTGATTATCAAACTTAGGAGTATTACTGTTGTTTATATATTGATCTTGTGTTCAGCAATCCTGCTGAACTTTTTCACTAATTCTCAGATTTTCTTAGGTTTTCTATCTAGACAAATCATGTTGTTGCCAAATGACAGCACCATGTCTCCCTCGGCAATTTATGCTTCCTAATTACTTTCCCTTTCTTCTTTCATTGGTTAGGACTCTTCATACAATTTGGAGTAGATATGGTGATAATGGGCATATTTGTTCCATCTAAAAAGTTAATGCTTCTTAAATTTTACTATTAAATAGAAAATTTGCCCTAGGTTTATTCAAGTTAAGGCCATTCCCTTATATTCCCAGTTTGCTGTAAATTTCAGTCCTGAATCAGTGCTTAATTTTATCACATGCCTTTTCTGTCTACTAACAGGAACATGTAGTTAGTTCTAATTCCCTCTGTTAATGCACTCAATGCTGTTAAAATTGTCTGATTCTGGACAACACTTGCACTCCTGGCATAAACTCTTCCTAGTCAAAATTATTTTTTTAATGCAGGGTTGCAGTTAAGTTGCTAATATTTTATTTAGGATCTTTGAATCCACAATTAGATGGAAGATTAGTCTATAATATTTCTTGTACCTCATAAAAACAAGGTGACTGTGTTTCTGCATTCTCTGATGCAGCTTGCATAAAATGAATTTGGGGTATTTCATAAAGTCACATGTAAAACTACCTTAACCTGGGACATTAATGTGGGAGTATATATTTTTTATTAACAATTACATTACTATTTATTGTAAGTAGTCTGCTCAAGTTTTCTATTTCATCTTGAATCAACTTTGTATATCTATATATCTTAAATTATACATTGTATATGTTTTTTAACTTATTGGCACACTCTTATTAATAGTATTATCTTCTTTTTAAAATGTTACAAGTCTCATTGTCCCACTGCAATAATCACTGTTATGGAAGCATAACCTGTGTCTCAATGTAGCCATATTAATAATTTCTGGACACAAGTATTATCTTCTTATTTTTAAATTCCTACAGTCACTTAATAATAATTACTTTTTATTCTGAATTTTCTTTCACTTATTTTTTTCTTGACCAGTCTTTCTAGAGATTAGTCTTTTTTTTAATTTGTGAAAAAAAATTCATAAGTCTTCTGCAGTAAAATATTGTATGTTTCTTTCCTGGAAATTAATTTTGTTATTTTTAGTATCTTTATTGGGTTTTTTTGGCTTTGCTACTGTTGTTTTCTAATTGAAAAAGTAATACCTCCTTAACATTTAAAAATATCAAAAGTAGTACTTTATGGTGTGGCTCAGTGGATTGAGTGCCAGCCTGCAAACCAAAGGGTTGCTGGTTCAATTCCCAGTCCAGGGCACATGCCTGGGTTATGGGCCAGGTCCCCAGTTGAGGGCATATGAGGGGCAACCATACATTGATGTTTCTCTCCCTCTCTTTCTCCCTCCCTTCCCCTCTCTAAAAAAGAAATAAAATCTTTTTTAAAAAGAGGATAGCTCTGGCTGGTGTGGCTCAGTGGATTGAATGCTGGCCTGTGAATTAAAGGGTCACTGGTTGGATTCCCAGTTAGGGCACATGCCTGGGTTGTAGGCCAGGTCCCCAGTAAGGGGTGCATGAGAGGCAACCACACACTGATGTTTCTCTCCCTCTCCATCCCCTCCCCTTTTTCTAAAAATAAATAAAATCTTTTTAAAAAAAACTATAAATGTTTTTTTTTAATTTCAGAAGTAATTTATGTGTTGAATATAGCAAGTGACCTATTTGCATATTTATTATTAGCTTTAAAAACATGATTTTAGCACTGGCTTGTGTGGCTCAGTGGATTGAGTACCAGCCTGTGAACCAAAGGGTCATCGGTTTTATTCCCAGTCTAGGGCACATGCCTGAGTTGCAGGCCAGATCCCCAGTAGAAGGTGTGCAAGAGACAACCACACATTGGTATTTCTCTCACTCTCTTTCTTCCTCCTTCCTCCTCCTTCTAAAAATAAATAAATAAAATCTCAAAAAAATAAAATAAAAATAAAAACATGATTTCATAGTACATATTGTTTTACCACTTGCTATTACTTATTTGATATTTTTTCAAGTAGGTATATTTTACTTAAAGCCAGGTAATTATTAACCTTAATGGTAGCTATTTATTTATTTATTTATTTATTTATTTATATTCTAAGCATTTTACAGTATTAAATGCATTTAATGCTCATGAAAACTATATCAGGCAGACTGTTATTATCACTATTTTGCAGACAAAAAAACTGAGCCACAGAGCACCTAAGACACACAGCCACTTAGGGATAGCCTGTTGGTTCCAGTGGGGAAGAAGAAAGAACTGCCAAGATTGTTGGGGATGGCCCTGAAGGATTGGCTGGTATCCTTGGAGAATGGATCTTCATGGCCTTGAACTCCATTGTTCTTGGCATCTTGTATGTGTACTGGGATCCACTATACTGCCTAGGGGAGGCTGAGGACAAAAAATGCCAAGGTCAGGAGGTGTTGGCATTGGGAAGACTGTGGGTCTGTCCTAGCATCCTGGGCAGGAGCCCATTACATTCAGGCACCCCTGTTCCTTCAGACTTCATCATAGTCATGGAATGAAAGAGAATTAGGCTGCAGATTTCAGCCAGCTTCTAATAAGCCTCCTGTCACCTACTAGGATCAATCTCTTCATTTTCTAGAGAGGGGTTGGGACTGTCCCAAGTCACTAGCAAATGAGGGATCTCTTGCTTTCAGTGTCAGCTCTGGTTCCTGACACAATTCTAACCCCTGCTGAATCAGATTCCCTCTCAACATCTGCCCATCACTTCCTAACCATCCTCCAGAAAGTGACTGGAACCCTAGCAGAGACCTTGGGATAGGCCCCTGTGAGCCAGGCTTGGCCCTGAATGGCCAATCTTCTTTTCCGGTGCCGCAAGCACTGTTTCACTAATCTGACCTCAAGCACTTCCAGAACACCATTTTCATCCTCTTTACCTTGCTCACTCTGGACAACTGGTCCCTCATCTACATGGACAGTGGGGCCCAGGGTATGTCAAGCTCCAGGCTGACTGGAGGACAGGAGGCTGGCTAGGTGGACAGACCCTATGAGATTTGTTACCCCATCTGCAAAGTGGGGCTTCTGAGAATCAGCAAAGAACTCACAGGTCAAGCAACTCCCTCTTTCCCAGGAACCTGGTACATTAACAATAGCAATATAAACCTAAACAAAATTAATGAATTTGCTAACTGTTATTTTGCCTATAGGCATTAACCTGTCTTCTGCCATATACATTGATTTCAAGATAAATATTGCCTGTAAAAATTTAACTCTGCTGTTTTAACTTGCAGGCATGTATATTAAAAGGCTTCTCTTTTTTTTTTGATTGGTTTAATAATAGCTCACATTCACTGTTTACTATATTGGTTCTGAATTTAATCATTTTAAAGTAATTACTTTGTTTTTATCTTTAATATATTTGGATTTCTCTTCTGTGTTTTAGAAACCCAATATACTCTCCATGTACATCTGTCCTAGCTTCTCCAGAGCAAGGGCATTGGATCTTCCTATTTGTGAGTCTCAGGCTTCAGGCACAGTGCCTAGACCACGACAATGACATTATTGATAATCACCATTTGTCAAACATGTGCTGTTTTCTAGGCATTGCACCAAACATTTTGTGTGCATTATCAAAATTTATTCAGACAAAAAATTTGAAGCAATAATTACTTTCTGAAAAGTCATTCCTTTTAAGTCAAAACTGTAATGAGCTACTACTTCACATCCATTATGATGGCCACTAGCAAAAAAACAAAACAAAACAGAAAAGAAGTGTTGGTGAGGGTGTGGAGAAATTGAACCCCTTTGGCACTGTTGGTAGGAATATAAAATAGTGCATCTGCTATGAAAAACAGTATGGAAGTTCCTTAATATATTACAAATAAAACTACCATATAATTCAGCAATCCAACTTCTGGGTATATATCGAATAGAATTGAAAGCAATGTTTTGAAGAGATATTGGCATACTCATGTTCATAGAAGCATTATTCACAAAAGCCAAGGGGCGAAGCAACCCAAGTGTCTATGATAAAGTCTTTGTATGACAGAATGCATCTTCTTCACCTTCTAGCTCTTTATAAACAATCAACTTCACAAAAAAGATACAAGAAACTAGGGCAAGAATCAACTCCTTTTGCGCTTTTGTTCTGCTGAAGGAACACAGAGAACACTTGTTAAAGTATAGTTTTGCAATTCATATACTATAATGCCATGATAAACAAACTGTGATGTATTTATTGGAATATTTTATTTAAGTTTTTATTTATTTATTTCCAGAGAAAGGGGAAGGGAGGGAGAAAGAGGAGAGAAACATCAATATGTGGTTGCCTCTCGTCTACACCCAACTGGGGTCCTGGCCTGCAACCCGGGCATGTGCCCCAACTGGGAATCAAACCAGCAACCAGGCATGTGCCCCAACTAGGAATCAAACCAGCAACCCCCAGCTTGCAGGCCAGCACCCAATCCACTGAGCTACACCAGCCAGGGCTGGAATATTTTTTTATTAAGCTTTAGAAAAGAAGGAAATCCTGTCACATGCTATAATATGGATGAAACTTGAGGACATTATACCAAGTGAAGTAAACCACTCACAAAAGGACAAATACTGTGTGATTCCAGTTATAAGATATCTAAAGTCATCAAACTTTTTTTAAGGACACAAATGTCTCTTTAAATGTTTTGGGGGGTGAAGGGGATACCACGCTTCTACTCAGGATAAACATTTTTATCACTACAGAGATGTTAATTTTTTTTACACTTATCATGCCATGAATTCCTAGGGAATGGGCTCCGTCAGCTGAGGTTCTCACACAGTGTGCTTCTCTGAGCAGAGCAGGCTGTTGCTTCAGCTGAACCCAAATACCTTTCTCTTTGGCTTCATTCTTTTTCTGATAATTTTCATAAAAAAAGATTTTATTTATTTTTAGAAAGAAGGGAAGGGAGGGAGAAACAGAGACAGAGAAACATCAATGTGTGGTTGACTCTCACATGCCTGCTACTGAGGACCTGGCTGGCCCGCAACCCAGGCATGTGCCCTAACTGGGAATTGAACCTCGATCCTTTGATTCACAGGTCTGTACTCAATCCACTGAACCACACCAGCCAGGGCTAATCATTTTCCTTCACATGCTATAGGAAGCTATCTTGGCTCTTAGAGTGCTTAATATGCTCAATAAGTACATTAATTCTCTTGGCAAAAATCTTGCCCATAACTTGTTTGTAACAATACCCACCACATGCTAGGTAACTTTGTCAAGTCTTCTAGCTTTACTCTGGGAACATTTGTGGGGCTTTCCTTTTTGAACAGTGCTCATTCCCTTGATGTCTACAATAACACCTTTCTTGTAGATTTGCACGTATATGGCCAAACAGACAGCTCCCCCTTTTCTAAAAGACTTAGAGAACATACAGCAGGTGCCTCTTCTCTTCCCTTTGTGTTAGTCATTTTGTGAATTACTGGAAGATGGCAGATCATCACCAAAAAGGTAAAGTAGTCAAACTCCTAGAAACAGAATGAAGAAGGTGGTGGCCAGGGGCTAAGGGGATGAGTAATTGTGGGGTGTTCAATGGATATAGTTATAAACTTGCAAGATGAAAAATCATGAAGATGTGTTGTATAACAATATAAACATAATTAACATAAAATAACTGTAAAAATAGGTTAGGATGGTCAACTTTCTCTTATGTTTTTTTTTACCACAATAAAAAATAAAAATAAGAAATATCAGGCTTTCTCATTTTAAGGATTAAGAAACTAAGACTCAGAGGGTTATATATCTCATCCAAGTTGTCAAAGAGCCATCATCGAAGAACCGATTTGAAGCTTGAGAATACTTCTGCCACAGAATGTTATCACTTACTTTAAGTTTAGATTTATTTTCCTTGGAATTTAACAGAATTTGGTGCATTTGAAAATTTTCTCTTAAATATTTTAAAGGGGGGAGTATACCTTTTTATTCCTATTTTTAGTAAGCATGACAATGATTTTT